AAATTAAAAATAAATAAATAAATAAAAAGGTAAGCAACCAGAGCCACACCATACAATCAAGGATGCTATACAGGTACAACCAACACAGCCACATGCAGTAGCCTTGTAGGCAAAATTATCCCTCATTCATAACATCATATATATGATGGATAAAAAGGGTTCTGTGGACTTAGGTCTTTTGTTCTACTAAATTATATAGAATCTTAAAGCTTGTGGAGCAAATAAACTTATTGCTTAAAAATCCACTAAACCGTGCTATTTAAAAAATCTGCCTTATTCTGGTATCTAAGAATTTCCACCTTGGTCCAATACCCATCTCATTTTATCCTTCCCCTTGCCATCAAAGTACAGAGGAAGATAAGCAAAACTTCTCTGTACTTTTTTCATTGAACTCCATATTGTAAATTTTTTCACCAGAAATCTTATTAAAATAGATTAGTTTTCTTTAATTATCTTGATCCTCTGATTAATAACTACATTTTTAAACAAGAAGCTGATCTGATAAAAATACCCTATGTCTTGACTGTGGTGGTTGTAGTTACCCAACTAGTTTAAGTTTTTCAAAATTCATAGATGGTTTACTTAAAAGGGTGAATTTTACTTTATGTAAATATACCTTTAAATGAATGAAATGATCTTTTATTTCTTCAAGGATATCACACCTTTTTTTAATTCTTCTTATTTCTGTATAGTCTGTTTCCTCTGAGTAGCGTTCCCAACCTCCCATCCCCATGTGTATTTTGGCATCTGTCTGAACAGTATGAGTCTCCTTACATGCCCCTTAACTCTCTACTAGGGCAGGCTACTAAAAAGCTGACGGTAACTGAGGTTCAGTAACTGGGCTTCACTGCCAGATAACTGGCCACTTCTTTGTGGAACCTCTGGTCTCAGTTTCTTTACATGTTTTCTCTTGTGTTGGTCAAGATCCCCTAATCTCCTGCATGGAAGATTTAGTCCTCTTTAAGGACTCTACCATGGCATGTAAATAATTACTTAATCCCTGTTTTTTTCCAGTAGGTATTCCTACTCTCATTTATAACCTGTGTTCTCTAGTGTAAAGACCTTCTGTTTAACCTCTCCAGAGAACAAGTCTCCAGTCTCCTAAAAAGGAGGAAGAAGGACAGTTACTCATCTGTATGGAAAGGGACGTCTAACTGTTCAGGACTTTTTATTGGTAAGAAATTCACACAACATAAAACTAAGCATTTTAAAGTGTACAATTCAGTGGTATTTACAAAGTTGTGCAAGCCATCACCTCTATCAAATTCTAAAACATTTTCAACACTCTGAAAGAAAGCCCAATACCCATTAAGCAGTCCCTCTCCATTCTCCCCTTGCCCCAATCCCTGGCAACTAACAATCAACTTTCTGTCTTCAGATTTGCCTATTCTCATCATTTCGTATAAACATAGTCATCCAATATGTGACTTTCACTTAGCATGTTATCAAGGTTTACCCATGTTGTAGCACCATAGGACCATATAATGAATCACCTTTTTATCTCCTACCATCACACAGTCTTGTTGGAATGTTATAATCTTGTCTCATCTATAACACTGTGACAGTTACATACCTACATAGGCCAATGGTGATGAGGAAACAGCTGTCCCTCAAGCTGAGGGCTGAGGGCTTGCCACCTCCTAGACATTTTTTTCAAATGCCGTGTTGGAAGTTTACCTTTCAGTGTCAATTTGGGAGGCTCTCAATTTTAGTTTTTATAAAGAAAAGTATCCTTTTATTATAGAAGTACACAAATATTATATGTATACCTAACTGGCTATGTGGCTCCTTTAAGCCTTGGTTTCCTCACCTGTAAAGTAGGAATAACAAATGTTTCATAGGGGAATCGTGAAGATGAAATAAGATAATCCTGTTAGTGCATTTACCACAATGTTTCTCTCATATTATGTGTTTAAAAGAGATTAGTATTAGCAGTTCCCACTAGGATTACTATTATCTATTCCTCTATTATTATTTCTATTGTTATTACAAGAGCACAAGGCAAGGAGACAGAGACCACACTAAGCTTCTTCAGAGAAGAAACAAGATTTTGAGTGGGGATCTGAGTGTGAGAAGATGGTCATTTTAGAAAGAACTGTGCCACAGAATAAACCATTGAAAATACCACAAGCTCTTTTAGATGTAATAAAGAAGTTTTTAGCTTTAAATCAATGTAAGAAATTTCAAATATATAGCTCCAGGTCTAGACTTCAAGAACTGCCAATGAAACTTTATGAGATTATTTAAGTAAAAAAAAATTAAATAGAAAGTCCATTTCTGAGAAAGAAGTCTAAATATTCACCTATTACACAGAAAAATGCTCTGAGCAGATCTAATATTTTGCTTATGATACCAATTACTTTCACTAGATATATCAAAGCATTTTAATTTCTTCACACACAAAACTTTAACTATTCTATACCACAGAAATCAAAGTAACTTACTAAAATGAAAGTGGGCTGTTTTAAACAATGAACTAATGACAACCCCTATTAAGACAATAGGAACTATACACCTGACAAATATTTAGCAATGAACTGAAAGTCTGAGCATGTTCATACATTCCACTGTAAATATATATTTATGTTGATATATTACTTTTTGCCAACAAAAAGCTGTAATAGTATTTTGTAATAATAAGAGATCTTAGAGTATTTTATTATTTTTATTAACTCTCTAGCACTTAATTTTATTTAAAATGTTTTGGGTTAATTTTTCACTGTATTCTAGAATACTGTGTAGTGTTCTTTAAAAACAGTATTCTTCCTCTTCTTTTCCAAAATTTCAGTTATTATTCCAATCAACTACTTTCTAACATGCTAATTCTTGTGTATGTAATACATCTTTTAAATTTTCTTGGATATTTAAATTTTTTTCTTGCTACAAATAAGGAGTCCAAAATATCAAAATCATATGCTTTTGTGATGGCTCATAGTTTCTTACCTGCACTCCTCAAATTAGGGTCCAGCCCTGGCATCTCTTTGTTAGCTTCAGGGCTGACACTGTAGATTGATGCTCCTGCTTCACTGACGATACTGAGAGGAAAGAAAAGGGGAATATCATTTTCCAAACTTTCTGCCTGGTCAAAGAAAATGAATGAGTGGGACTAGGTATTATAAAAAATAGAAAAGCAGGACAAAGTGCTCTCTTTATATTCCAATGATAACTATGCCATTTTTCATAAATATAAAGAAAGAGATTAAGCAATGCTTATTTTCCTCACATAGGAAATACACAGGTTTAAATCCACAAATAATTCATTCAGCCATAAAGAGATAGTTAATAGATAAACACAACTGTACTCTCTCATGGTGCCAACTTCAAAATTTTGGGGATATACTTAGCTTCTCTTATGTTTATAATCCATTACTGACTGATATTTATGACTCCTACCTGAATTAATCATTCTAAAGCACATAGACATGTGTGGATAGGTGTATATATGGATATATACAAAACCATTGCCATGAGTATTGCCAATATTATTAGCTGGTTAGAATGCAACAACCATCAATGTGAAAAGGAAAGGGATCAGCCAGGATAATATCCCACTCCTCTTCAAGAGGCTTTGAAATTATCTTTTCAGTAAACTTGAATCCTTTCACTTCGGACAGGCATTAAACTACTTCATTTCATCATTTATTTAATCAAATCATCACACATAACATCCTTTCTTTCTTTTTTGGCTCCAAATACTTTACAAACCACAATGGAAACACTCTCTTACAGCTGACATTTGTACAGTAGTTGACATTTGTACAGTTTATTAACCATTTTTAAATCAGAGATCTTCTTTATGACATAATCTGCAAAGAAGCATCATCTGCCCTTAGTATTAAACATACTTATGGCTCCCTGCCATGTAACCCTCTAGATGTCAAGATTCAAAAGTAGAAACATGTTAGTACTTAATTTTAAATCCATTCTTAGAAACCTTTCTCTTTCTCTGCTCCTCAATATTAACTTCAATTACGAGACAAGTTTGGTGGATAACTTTTAACATATTGCCCCAGTTAACAATTGAAAACCGGTAAGAAATATGTGAAAAATTCAGTTTGCTACTCCCTGTCCTTGAAGAACTCTTGGTTGAATTTTTTGACAACTATCAGCCACCAAAACTTGAGATTTTGGGGAGGAATGTGAGGATTTGTTTTTTTTTTTTTTTTGCAATCAAGATCTACTATCCTAAATTTCGTAACAGGAAAAATAAACACTCAGCAAATGAACAGCAAAGCTGCTTATCCTATTTCCCATCAACACCATTATCATGATACAGTCAGAGGTAACTGAGTGCATATAAAAAAACAAGCACTTTACAGACCATCTCATTTGATCCCTTTTGGGGGAATTTTTTTTTTTTTAACAAATAAGCAAGTAATATGCCCACAGTCATGACTGGCAAGCAGCAGAGCTGGGTTTGGACCCAACCTGCTTGATATTCAGATCTGAGCTTTTAACCAGCACAAACACAAATAACTTCTGAATCCTTTACAACCTCTCATTAAAATGAAGACTCTTAACTTTAATAAGACACTAGTATCAAAAAAGAAAGAAAGAAAATGAAAACCCATATTTTTGTGCTAAACAACAAATGCAACATCTTTTTAAGGAGGAACCACTTTCTTAAACAACAGATCCACTGGAACTCAGTTCTCTTGTTGTCTTCACTTTGATCAAAAGGTAAAGTGAGTTTTTTTTTTTAATGTACTAAGGTAGACTCTAAAGCATACAGAAAGTCAAATGTATTCTACAAATTCAGAGAATGACTTTAAAATTAAAAGCTAGTTGTGTTTTTTCTCCAAAATAAGATTTAGATTATGCTTATCTTCTAGTATATAATGATCAATGAGAAAATGTAATGTCAAAGAAAGCTTTAAATGAAGAAAGCCCTTAGTGTGGCAAAATATGATATTAAAACCAACATACCAGAAGTGATGGGACTTCCTAACCTGGGGCCCTTGGACTTTTGGGAAGGGAAAGGCAGGATTAATTAAAACTGTATATAAAATATTTATGTTTTTGCAATTTTTTTCTTGGAAAAGGGATTACAGTTTTCATTAATTACTTAAAGAAACCCATGACCTCAAAAAAGGTTAAGAAACACCACCACAGGATAAGAATATTCAGCCACCAGCCATGGAAAAACTTGGTTTCAAATACAAGTCAACACTCAGTCTAACAAAGTTTTTCCTAAAATACCAGAGTATACACAAAGTGAAGGAAAGGATAGTTTTTAAAACCTCACCAGAAATTTATTTTCTATTATTACCAGAAGCCTCTAAAATTATCACTATTAAGCAAAAGGAACTTAAATGGTAAATAAAAATTCCAATTAACTGTGACCCTTTAGCAGTCAGGTACCTGAGAATTTTCTGGGTGATTCACTGTCTCTTGAAGTTATAATTCTCAATAGACTGAGGGAAACTGTTGCAAAGAAAAACACTCAGATAATAAATATTCCTCCAAATACCATACTGCCACTTCTTTTAAACAGAGGAATACAAAACAGATGTGACACACTGCACCCAAAGATTTTAGATTAACATTAATATTAAGTCAATATAAAATGTAGTAAATTTTATGTGCTTTAGTTATTAACAGCATCTAATAAACAGGGTCTAATAAACAGTTCAGTACTAAGCACAAATCGGAATGCTTAAATAATCTAACTGAACAGAAAAACCTCAACACTGATTACTTCAATATAAAACATATAAGGCTCTAAGAAGTATATATGGCACAAATTAAATGAGACAAATAAGCTGGGAGTGCTGGTAATTCTTTCCAAGAGAAGTTGCTAAGACCAAAAGTTAGAGTGCCCCCCCCCCCTTTTTTCCTTTCCTATTTGGCATTCAAGGATAGACATTCAGCAGAAGTTATGCTAGATTTCATAAGCCATTTTCTGTTGACTGGGAGTTTTCCAATTAGAAACTATTAGAAAACTATATATTTTGAGAAAAGCAAAAACAAAATTTGCATAAAATCCATATAGCTAATGATTTAGTAAGTATTATATTTCACAAAACAAACTTCTTTCAGGTGTAAACAAACTGGGCTCATAGTCTTAGCAGTTTGATTACTTATCTTTCCATACAGCAGACAGGACACTCTGAGCAGAATTTCTTATTTGGGGGAATTTAACTGACACAGTTATAACTGAACTAACTTTCTAAGAGTATTATGTACTCTGAAGCCCCATCAAATTGCTAGTTCGGACAAACATCTAAATACATACATATGGAATCTCAAGCTCTAAATATGAAAGTACATTACAGAAGCTTACATTGGACTTACATTTTACCAGATATATATGTTAATGTGCTAATTATCTAGAATTAAATTGGTAGTTTTTAAACATTTAATCTAATTCAGCATGATTTTAGGGTCTTCCTAGGTCTTTTTATTTAAAAAATACAAACCACACACTCATAACCTAAAAGGAAAGTGAAGTGTCCACAGTATAGATGTATTTACTATTAAATTCATTTAAAGAATCCTAATAAAAACTAAGTTAAAAAACATTAATTGTATTATTGTGAGTAAAATTCAATGAGTTACATAAATCTGATCAATTAATCAATATCATCTACTCAATATAATTTTTTAAAATATATGTTTAAACTATAGAATTTATATCACCAGAATTTATAACTCTTCTACCAAGACAGATTGTATGTTGATGAATCTTTTAAAATGAGCTTTGCAAGTAGTTTTCTTACAGCGACTATTCATTCTGAGAAGAAGAAAATAACGACTTCTTTTACCAAAATGAGATACTAGTGTGAGGGAATTTTTTTCATGAGATAGGTAAACTAACTTCTTTTAAATTATTGAGCTAATAGTTTTCACATTCACTTACAAGGTTACATGACATCTTTCTTCCCGTTTCCCAAATATGAAAATAGCTTTTTTGTTAATTTCTTATTTTAAAATAAATTACATACTGCCTTATGTTAATAGGAGTATTCAATTAAAAGGTAATCTACTTAGATGAGACTACAGTTATTTAATAAGATATCAAAAACCAGCCATAATATATTGCCTAAACTAATAAAAACTGATGTTTTTAATTCTTTACAGTATACTAGAATTCCTCAAGCCTTATCAATATCTAATAGCTTTCTTTTCTTCCTTCCTTCTGCCCACCAAAAAATATGTAGCAAATAGCTACTAGGCTAAATGCCAGCTCATTTCACAAAAGTTTTATAAGTAGTTTATCTAAAAATCATTCTTCCAAATTTTCAGACTGAGAAACATTTATATGGAGTGAGTAAATGACTTGACCTAAGTTCCTCAACAAGTACTTGAAAGTGCTAACCAAGTTAACCAACACAGATCTTAATACTTTGCTTTGTACATGAGATAACCTGTTCTGAAGTATGAAAGGACAGCTGTTTGTATTTTAGGGACAGGAGACAAGACCAAAAAATAAATGACCATGAACAGAAGGGCCTATAGGGTTAAATGTTTAAAGGATAAGGCATATTTCTAAGAGAACATCGAAGCAATTTTAAATTCCTGTACTTAGTGATGAATTGTGAATTGTCCTATCGGGGAGTCTCAAAGGAGCAATATCTAGTCACTTTAAAAACTAAGGTAAACTGGTGATGATAAAGGATGCAAGGAAATAAGCAAAATCATAAACTGTTAAATATGTTTAAACTAAAGAACTCTTTTGGATGGCAATTCGAGATTATATATCAAAAGTCACAAAAATACGCATTCTTTCTGAACCAGCTGTTACATTTTTAAGAATTTATATGAAGGAAATTTAAAAATACACAAAAAGTTACATAGCATAGCTCTGACTGAAAGACACTGAAAACCGAAATGCCTATCGTTAGAGAGTTCACTGAATGGAAAACCATACTGTCATAAGAAATTATTGTGGTAAAATATAAGTGAAAAAACTGGTTACAAAATTATTCTATAAGACCAACTTGATATTTTAAAATATAGGTATGTACACAAAAAATTATATATGTAATATGTTAGTAGTACATAATGAGTTATTCCTTTAATTGCCATTTTTGTT